TGTGTGTGTGTGTGTGTGTGTGTCTGTGTGTGTCTGTGTGTGTGTGTGTGTGTCTGTATGTGTGTGTGTGTGTGTATGTGTTTGGTGTGTCCAATCAGCACGCTTTTATAAATTCTGGTTGGAGCAAAAGGAGTATCGGTTGGATGGAGTTGATGGTTCTTGTTTCATCTGATCTGTTCTTAGTGGAAAATGTGTGGTGTGCTTTTACCATTGCTTGTAGTTTGCTATTGTAATACCAATAGAGGACCGGTACTACTGAGCCTGCAGAAGAAGTGAGCACCCTCAAAACAGGTACTACAACCCCCATTTCCCTCTATAGAACTTATCAGCACCACTACAATAAAAAGGAATATAAATCACTTAATTGCAAAAACAATATCATGCAATGAAGCACAGAGAATGCAATTGGATAAAATGATACATAAAGTATGAAATCAATAAAAAACCTGCATGTAGCCCATCCAACAGCACATAATCATCCATATGGTGCAGCCACCATAGGACTCATTAGGAGCCATGCATGGTTTTGACACGGGTCGATCTATACAGCAATAATACACAATCACATGTACATTTAACAGACAAATATATAATAGAAATTGGACCTTTTGAAGTCAAGGTCCCTGAATATGTAAAAAAAAAATAAACCTGAATAGAGTCAGTGGTGCCTCCCAGGAAAGTTGGTCCAAAGTGGCAGATATGGGGAACACGTATCGGAGCCATATGCCTGGAATGGACAATGGCTGCGATACGACTAGAGTCTCTCACTGCTTGACCGCATTCCACATATTACATTGCTGTTATATCGTTCCCTTTCATGTCATTATATATTAATTCTGAATAGATTGGCCCGGGTCAAAGCAGTGCAGGGCTCCTATTGTGTCCTATGGCGACTGTACCATTCAGCTGATTATGAACAGGTGGATGGGGTTACATGTGTGTTATTAATGAATGTTATACTCCGTGTCATTGTATCAAATTGTTTTCATTGTGCTTCATTAAATATTATTATTGTTTCATTAAAGCTATTATATTCCTTTTCATTGGCATTGTAGTGATGCAGATATGTTTTATAGAGGGTGACTGTGGTTGTAGTATATGGTTGCAATATGCACAGAAGTCATTTTACTTTGCCAGTATTTGGGATTATTAGATTTCTTCATTTTTAAATCTGATTAAAATAATATTTATTTATTACAGGTATTTAGTGTCGAATTAGTTTTTATTAACTTTTGTAAAAGGAGATTCAGACAATTCACATCATAACTCAAGCAACGTAAATCACATTATTGGGAAACTATATGAGGGAGGAAAACTCTCAGTGGCACGGCATTGACATCCGTCTTGTGCCCGACTCGCCGCAGTTGGTTAAATTTATATAAAGTAAAAAAAAAAACAACAAAGTTACACCGAACATGTGCGAGAGCTGAGAACAGCATTCTGAACAAACACTTCCAGGAGCACACTACAGGTCTGTCCGAGGCTGCGCGGTCTGGAGTTATCCACATTATTAGCATACAATATAGTCTTCTCGTGAACCGTCTGACGTTGCATTTATATTAGAGAAGCATTAAACAGAGGGACAGCCGGGAATAAGGGATAGAAGGAGGAGAATAGTATACCGGAGGTAAGACTGGGGTTGGGACTCTAGCCACTAACCGCTGTGCTGCTCTGGTGCCGCTGTGCCATAAATAATAAGTTTGTAGTTCCTGTGTGGCTGGAAGACCAAACGCTGCTTTATTATATACCTCATTAACCATCTAGATACAACCAATGATTTCTCCTTTGTAACCTTCTCTTTTTTTGCAGTGTCCCTTTCTTCTAGCACGGTGGGTCCCGGTGGTCAGATCATACACACGGAGACCACAGAGATAGTCCTGCGGGGAGACCCCTTAAACGGCTTTGGGATTCAGCTGCAGGGAGGGATATTCGCAACAGAGACGCTGTCATCGCCCCCGCTAATAAGATTCATCGAGCCGGACAGCCCAGCCGAAAGGTGAGATCTCTGTTTAGCCGCAGGTACTGAAATATGCCGGGTGATCTGCCAGAAATCCAGTGAGCTTCCATTGGTGAGCTGACAACTCCTTCCTCTGCTGCATTGAAATCCCAACCAGTACTGAGAGCTTTAGCTGAGCTCTCCCCTGCTGGACTACACTAAACCACTTTCTTATGAAGATTGGGGCGGGGGGCATCTGTAGTCCAAGGGGAGAACTTGCCATTGATGCAGAATTTTTACCAAGGCTACCCCCTTCTGCAAAGGTAAAGTGCTCGTTTTTGTCCAGGGGAATAAAGCTGATTTACTTACCTGATCCCTGCTCCTGCTGGACTGCTAAACCGGTCCCCACAGCCTCTTCTGCCCTGGGCCCTGGTGGTCCAATGACCGCTGATGTCATTACACCTTATGCAGGTTCCATAGATCTGTATTGGACATGGAGATGCCAAGGGACAACTTAAGCAGGGGGGTGAAGAGGACAGGAGAGTATGGACCCCTGGGGGAGCAGGGATCAGGTACGTAAATCTGCTTCACTCTGGTCTCCGATACAAAAATGAGCACTTTAACCTTGCAGTGGGGGCTACCAAGGGTGAAGTGCTCATTTTTGTCTAGAGAATAAAGCTGATTTACTTTCCTGATCCCCGCTCATGCTAGCTCCCACCGGGCTGCTAGTCTAGTCCCCATAGCCTCTTCTCCCCTGGGCTCCGGCGGTTGAAGGACCGCTGACCTCACCACGTCTTATGCAGGTTCCATAAATGTGAAGATGCCAAGGGACATTCCAAAGCCGGAGCAGAGGGAAAGAAGAAACACTTGGGGATCAAGTAAGTAAATCTGCTTTACTCTGGTCCCCTATACAAAAATGAGCACTTCACCCTTGCAGTGATGGGATAGCCCCAATGCAAGGGTACTTGTTTGCCCATAGATGGGCTTTAGGATTAGGATAAGTCTCAGAGGGGACGTCCAGAATATATCGGGGCTTGTAGGACCATGTCAGAAGTGAAGCATTGGGCGACAATAACAACCCTGTATGTTGCAATGACAACTTCTATACGTCTACAATGACAGATTCCCTTTAAATGAGAATTATGAGGGGAGTGCTTTTCACTCGCCTCATAGTTCTAGCCGACCTGTGACAATGAGACTGTCACAGGTCGGCTCAGTAGATCGGGAGGTGAGCGAACACATACCGGCGTTCGCTCCCCTCTCGATCCTGTCACGCCTCTCTGCCGTAACAGAGGAGGGGCTGGATTCCCCCCTCCCCGCTCCGATCCGCCAGCGCTGACTGGCGGAACGGACGGGGCAGGGGGCGGGTACAGCTGGCTCTGCCTCTAGATAGGCAGAGCCAGCTGTCAGTCACGCAGCTGGGCGGATCCCGGTACAATTGTCGGGATCCCCTTCAGCTGCGGCGTCTCAGTATACCGCGAGCTGTAGCTCTCTATATACTGAGGCTAGGGTGACGGGAGGACGCTAGTTTATGTCCTCCCGTTACCCTAAGGAGAACTATGGGGAAAAGACTTAACCCTTTAAATTCAGAATGTTCTTTCTTTGATTAGAATGCGACTTCATTAGTATGCTGGGAGTTGTAATTCTGAATCTGCTGCTACTGCGCTGGAGCCGGGCTCAGGGAAATGTGTGCGAGGCGCTCGGGGCGTAACAGCAGCGAGTCCAAAAGATCAGACTTTGTCAGAATGACATATCTGGTGCAGCGTGCGTGAAATCGGAGGTAACCAGGCTTGCAGGGACACGCTCTGCCCTGGCACAAGGACACTCGATCTATCCATGAGCTCCACGCTCGCAGCTAATTGACTGCAGGTTTTAATTAGCCTCCGCATTGACACCCGGGAAGGGCTGCGTCTCTCCACATTGTCTGTGGCCGGGTTACAGAGCACACGGCGCGTCCGATCGAATCTCTTCCAGAGGACTAAATGACATAGACTGGTTCCTCCATCGTCTCGCGTCACGGCTGTGCATTGAGGCCAGTGGCCGTTCAGAGTCCCCGCAGAAGGTGACCCTCAATATAATGGGAGCTTTGCGGGTCCCAGGGGCATATCCTACCGCTATCTGCTTATATATTACCTTCTTTGGTTCCTCCCTCCCCCCTCATCGACATGCTAATGACATTTTTAATTAAAACCTTTCCGTTTTCGTGACATACTTTATTTTAGTCCCAGCGATGTCATCACTGGGCCTCTGTGCAATGCAGGTAAATCACGGCTGGTGGGAGGGGCCTGGCAGGGTGCTGTACATGGCTTCCTGAAAACATCACAGCACCCTGCTTCAGTACTCCTCTTCTTTAAAGGAAACAGTGGGCTGGCTTTTGGGAGGAGTTATGCAAATATCAATAGGCTTTGATGTGTGGATGTCAGTCTGAAGGAGTGGCCGGTCCTAGGCAGACTGCATCGTACAAACTGTGAAAGAAACGCAACGTCCATATGTTTGTTTTTTCCCTCCAGTTGCACATTACTTTGTTGTCAGGCTAATCCTGTCTCTAGAAACTGACGCAAGTCGTGCCTCTGCAACCACTGTAGGTGTCAGAAGTGCCCTCACTGTTTTTGTGATTGGCTGTCTCTGCTATCTGCCATTTGAAGCAGCTTATGGCAAGAAACTGGTTCTGAATAATTCAGCAATGATGAAAGCCATCCTCCCTGTTTCCAGAAACCACTTACTGCAGTTTAAAGTGATGGATCATCTGAATGAACGAACACTTAACAGTGACTTTGATGACCTTTGTTTTATAATGGGAAAGCAGAGCAGATAATGAAGAAGAATGTATTCCAAATGTAAAAGCTCCCGGCTGATGTCCTCTACGGAGTGTGAACCCAGAAGCGCTCAGCTCTGCGCACTTCCAGGTTCAGCGCTGTCAAAATACCGGCTGCAATGCCCGGCAAACAACTGATCGAGCACAGTCTGTACTTCCATCACCTGGAGTATTAGGGCAGGAGGAACGTTGGGGGGTCTAATAGACTCTTGATGTCTCCATGAAGAGTACTCGTCACATGCCCAATGCTATCGTGCCTATTAGCTCCCTTGTGATAACGATAAAGTTAAGTGAAAAAATTAAATAAAAAGTGTTAAATCAATATATTAAAAATGTAAAAGTACCCTGTCGCCCCGCCAACATACATTAAAGGAGAACTATGAGGGGGGTGCTTTTCACTCACCTCATAGTTCTAGCCGACCTGTGACAATGAGACTGTCACAGGTCGGCTCAGTAGATCGGGAGGTGAGCGAACACATACCGGCGTTCGCTCACCTCTCGATCCTGTCACGGCTCTCTGCCGTGACAGGGGAGGGGCTGGATTCCCCCCTCCCCGATCCGCTCCGCCCGCCCTGACTGGCGGAACGGACGGGGGAGGGGGGGGGTACCGCTGGCTCTGCCTCTAGATAGGCAGAGCCAGCTGTCACTCACGCAGCTGGGCGGATCCAGACATAATTGTCGGGATCCGCTTCAGCTGCGGCGTCTCAGTATACCGCGAGCTGCTGCTCCCTATATACTGAGCTTAGGGTGACGGGAGGATGCTAGTTTGTGTCCTCCCGTTACCCTAAGGAGAACTATGGGGAAAAACACTGACCCCATAGTTCTCCTTTAATGCAAGCGCATGTGTAGATTGCGCACATGTATGTAATTGCACAACACTACAGGGTGTCGCACACATGGCGGATTGAAGGGATTTTAACCCCTTCGTGACTGACGACGTACAGTGTACATCGCCAGCATCGGGGCTGTTTAAACAGACTCCCGGCGACTTTTGCCGCCGGGACTCTGTTTAAACTTGTAGAGCCGACTGTCGGCTTTACAACAGAAGCGATCCTGGCGACTTACCTGTCGCCAGATCGCTTCTGCGTCCCGAAGAAGGGGCCGACAGTCATGAAGGGGTTAAGGTCCCTTATGTACTTAAAGCTCTAAACTGCGAGCTGTAAATGCATTTAAAATGTCGCCTATTGATAATTTTGTGTACCATGATTGTCCTCCATTTTATGGGTGCACGCAGTTTTGAGGCTCGACATATTTGACATCTGCTTACGCAACGCAATCTCTTATATTTTGTTATTTTGTGCAAACAATTGGGGAATATATTATTTGTGTGCACTAAAATTCATTATAAAAATTAGAACTGCCGTCTTTTTATTCTTCAGGGATTCTTTGTTCACAAAAAAATATATTTTCTGCCCAATACTCTTCAGTGGTAACAGCAATATGTCTATCTTCATAGGCTTGCCCTTACATTTCTTTACTGTTTTTTTCTTTCGCTGTGACGAATAAACCTGAACTGCAAAACCTGATCTTTTAGGGTGTTTGATCCTTATTGGTTCATGGCGAAGCGTAATTGCCGCAATTGCTGATCGTGAGAGGAGCTGCAGTGCCACCTTGTGGCAAGCTGGTGAATTTTTCTTTTCCATGCAATCATGTTGCATGGAAAAGAAAGTTACATTCAGAGTTTTGGAGCCTCTTCTGGAGATCGCAGGTCACATTCTCTCAAACGTTTTGTTGATCGCATGAAAGAACTTAAACAAACATAATAATATGATACATAATAAGATGACGAAAAAGTTTAGATTTTCGTTATCATTCGGAATTATGTAGGGCTGCAAAAACTAATTGATTACATCGATAATAATCGATTATGAGAATAGTTGGCAACTATTCTCATTATGGGTTAGTTGGTTGTAGGGGGAGAGAGAGAGAGATTTTTTTTTTAATGCAACCAATCGATTAGTTGAAAAAATAACCGGGAAACTAATCGATTATGAAAATAATCATTAGTGGCAGCCCTAGAATTATGACTATGAAGTGCATTAAAGTGTATGTATAGGCCAGACTGTTTTCTGGTTTGGATAGTGTGTGGGAGTTAGAGTCTCTGCCAGGTTTGTATTGCTGTCTCTGTCTCCGTGGGGAGATTCGCCCTTCCTATCTGTACTGGTGATCGTTGTCACACAGAGAGAAAGTGATGATTTAGCCACAGATGTCCTTAATTTGTCAGAAAAGGGAAACAAAATAAGGAACAGATTTTTACATTTTGTGTTTTGGTTCCGTCCCCTCTAATACTGCTGCCCTTGGCATTAGTCCATGGATGTTCTTTCCCTACTCTGACCAAAAATAAAAATAAAACATTGACAGTATGTGCCCTTTAAGTTACAATTTCTGAGAAGATCGAGAGTTAACTCTTCCACTCTGTCTCACCAGGTGTGGTCTCCTGCAGGTTGGGGATCGGTTGCTCTCCATCAACGGGATCCTGACAGAAGATGGGACGCTGGAAGAGGCCAATCAGCTCCTTCGAGATGCAGCCTTGTCCAATAAGGTCGTGCTGGAGATTGAATACGACGTTGCAGGTGAGTTGGAGCCTCTTTGTGAAGGTTCTCCTTCATCCAGGTCAGGGTATATCTGTAAAAAAATCAGTCAGGTCAACTGGACTTGCTGTATTTCCCTAGAAGACGTTTCACTGGACAGCCGACCAGCTTTCTCAATTCAGAACTCTGTACGGAGAAAGCTGGTCGGATGTCCAGTGAATCGACTTCTAGATAAATACAGCAAGTCCAGTTGCCTTGAATGATTTTTTTACAGATAGAACCTCTTTGGTTTGGTAAATCTCTCATTCAGCAAGCAAAGCCAGGCTGACTCGGCTGTTATTTCCTGTGGGCTATGCTCCACCAACTTCTGTTCTGCGGTCCAATGAGACAGTGAAATTGTAAGGAAGGAATTTTGGAAGGAACAAAGAGGACAATTTGGGTGATGTATGGAGCCAAAGTTTGTATGCTGTGGCAGTTACCGGACACTTCACGAGAAGCATGGGAACTCCATCATTTGGGTCTGGAATGGGAAACATACTCATATCAGGACAGGTTTCCTTTAAGTGCCGATCGGTCGGGAGTCACACTTTATCCCATTAGTGTGAAGGAAGCCAGAGAAAAAAAATGAATGTTTATTACAAAACACAACAGACTGAGCGTGGGTTTGTGTGTACACACTGACTGCTTGTGTG